CCCCTGCGCCTGATCCCAGGCATCCGGAAGGACCCGAACTGTTCCAGAAGGACCCATCCCTCCAGCATGGAGGGGGCGGGGGGCGGGGACCCGGAAATCTCTCCTGATTGTGGTTCTGTGGGACCGGCTCCCCTGGGCTGCAGCCCCTCCTCAGGCCCCCCTCCAGCACCCAGCTTCCCCGAGGCCCTCTGATCGCTCCTTGGGGGAACTTGCCCATCCCTGAGCCCCGAGGGTCCTGGATCCCCGCACCCCTCTTCCTCACTGAAGCTCCCCCGGGCCTCAGCCCCCACTTCAGCCGGCCCCTGGGATGAGGGGGCTTCTGGAGGCCTGAGGACAACGGGCCCAGAGTCCCCCTGGGTTCCAGACACCACATTTGTGGATGTTCTGGTGGTGGGGCCCCAGCATCTCTAGGCCCTTCAGGGAAAGGTTTCCTCCCTCGAAAAAGGACACTTGAGGAAGGGACCCTGGGCATGGTGGGGTCAGCAGGGAGGGTGTGGACGGTGTACCTGGAGGCCCACTGACCAGCCGCTTTGCTCCCTTCCAGAGAGGGAGTGGGCCTGATGTGCGGCCACTGGAGATGGGCTTTCTGCGTCCGGCAGCCCAGGGGGACATACTGGACACAGCAAGAGCCAGAAGGCCTGTTCTCCATCCCCACCTCCCACAGGTCCACCCCTGGCTGGTCTCCATGTGACCTCAGACCACCTCCCCGGCACCTCTCAGAACCTCAGGAACCACCGTCCACAATTCATCACAGCTCCTCCCCTCCTGGACCTTCCCCAAAAGTGTTCTGACCACATAATTCCCTTGCTCCACAACCCCCCATGGCTCCCCATTGCCCTCTGGAAGCAGCCTCCCCTCACCTACTCCTGCTGGTCTTCTTGCCCTTCCTCCTCCAGGAGGGTTTGGTCTCCGTGATACCCAGTTTGAAATACCATCCCTTACCCCCTTTTTCTCCCGGCGAGCTCCTACCCATCCCACAAAACTCAGCTCAGCTGCCGCTCACTCTGCACTGCCCTCTTTCTTGCACCTGGTGTTAACCTCCCCAGCCTCTGCGCTCCCCTGGCTTTTCCTCCTCTGCAAACTTCCCGAGGGCAGGGACCCCACCTGCGTGGCTCACAGCTGCCTCCCAGTGCCTGGGGCAGGCCGGGGCCTGTCACATCTCCTGGACTCTGGGCAACTTGAGAACAGTTTCCAGTGGCGTCTGCCTCCCGGCCCTGGTCCAGAGGAGGTCTGCCACGGGGAGGTGTGCCCGAGGGCACTGCCGGGATCTGCCCAGACCCCAGCGCTGACAGCGGGGGCTGGGCTCCCCCGAGTGAGCTGACAGGGTGGTCTGAAGGCTCCCGCTGCCCCATGTCCGTAGCTGCCCAGCTTCCACGCCTGGCCTCTGATCTGGCCTGCAGGCCTCCAGCAGCTCGGGCCCCGCCCTGGGCCTTCATCTGCCCCCTCCAGGAGGGCTGCCGGGGACCCTTAGTGATGTGGGTCCAGCCCCATCTGTTTGCTCAGAGGGGGTGCAGGGCCGGGGGCGGACCGATCTGCTAAATACCACATGGGGGGAAGCCTCTGCTCGTGTGGACATAACCTTTTGGCAAATGTCTCCTGCGACACAAATTCTGTTTCTAATTCCTTTCCTACCTGAGCCGGCTTGGAGCTGGGTGGGAGCTAAGCTTTTCCAGTTCTCCCCTGGGGCCAGGCGACCCCAACTATGTCCCAGGCCCGTGCTGAGGACCAGAGCTGGTGGACACCCTTTGAGGGGACACTGTCCCCCTGTCTGTAGGCTCATCCATCTGTGTTTCCCCCGTGCATCCAGGGAAGCCTTCCCCACACTCCAAGGCTGGCGCACTCAGAAGCGGCCCCTGGTCCTCTGGCTGTGCCCAGGTGTGTTGCGCCCTCCACCCCAGGTGGTGAGGGCACCCACCTGCCTCCTCGCCTGGTTCCCCCTTATCATCTCCCTCTTCCCACCCCCAGGCCCCCCTCCATCCTAGGTACCCTGAGAGGTGAACTGCAGCGTCTGCCTTTACCGGCGCGGCATTATGGACCCATTCTACAGCTGGGAAGACTGAGGTGAGTGGCCTCTCTCTGGGTCCTGCCGCCAGTGTTCCCGGACTCCTGAAATTGCCTTTTCAAGGGCCCAGTGATGTCTGTGCGCAGGGCCTGGGGGTGGCTTAACAGGTTGATGCTGCTAGTACCCCTGGGCGAACGGACGCCCCGAAAAGGAGGGCTGGGCTGGAAGGGCCTCTGCAGGAAGGGGGAGGAGAGGGGCAGGATTGAGCGGAGGGAGAAGAGTGGGCTTTGGGGGTGAACTGAGAGGAGGGGCCGGCATGGGGGTGAGATGATGAAGGACGTGGCCATGGCCAGGGCTCCGACCACCCTGTCTCCCCACCAGCTCAGCCCTTGCCTCCCTGTGTACCCCCTCCCCTCACAGCCTCGATGAATGATCACAGCTCCGCCGGCTGCAATCAGGAGGCCTTGAGCTCCACAGCGTCTTTCAGCAGCGAGGGCCTCGGGGACTTAATAGCTGTAATGACAGTGAGCCCTCCCCCCAGCATGGGCGTAGGGCACCTGGTGTTGACATGGGGAGCCTGGCCTGGGCATGGGGTGCCTGGTGTGGGCGGGGCAGGGCCAGCAGCATCAGCCCCTGCTTTGGGGTCTCAGGGCTGCTTCCCAGGCCTCGGGGCTGCTCCCCCAGCTGCAGACCCAGCCCCTCATCTCCTCCCATAACCCAGACCCCCAGGGAGGGGCCCAGAGACAGCTGCAGAGGAGAGAGGAGGGGGGCACAGACCCAGGGTCCTCATCCTGTGGCTCTGCAGGACCCCACCACCAAAAATCGTGTGGGAACAGTCAGGGAAGGGGGCTCCCCAGTGATCTGGGGTCAAAGGTCCCTTCCAGGGTGTGAGGTGGGGAGGCCTTTGTGTCCTGGGAAGACACACACACACAGAGCCCAGCTGGCCAGGTCCACCCCACGCTGAGCCCGGAGCCTGGGACCTGTGTCCCGCTCACAGGGAGACGGACCTGCCCGGACACGGACACACTCAGCTCTCAGGACAGGGCACTCAGGATGTCACGCTCCCCTGGGCTGTCCCTGGTCCCTGCGGTTCCTGGGTGCAGCGGGGACTGTGAGGCCTGCCCCCACCCCCTCCTGGGGCAGCTACATAGACCCCCGCAGAGAGCACACACCCACCCATGGGTGGGGGGGTATCAGGGCCGGAGTCCTCGCCTGGGCCCCCACCTCCAGCTTCGCCCCGCCCGGGCGCCCCAGCGTTTGGGGGGTGGAGAAGGAATCGCCCACCTTCCTCCAGCTCTAACAGGGCTGAAGATTCCCGGATACGCGGCTGTCAGAGCTGAAATGTCAGAGCAATTAGCCCGAGGAGGCCGCCCGATGGAGGCGGCGGCAGGCGAGACCTGCGCAGGGGGGGATATCGACAGGCCGGGCCTGGGCGGCCTCGGTCGATGGGGAGCGTTTAGCGGTAATTGGGCGGTCGGAAGCCAGAGGGGCAGCAGAGGAGCGAGCGCGGAGCGGGTCATGTCCCCTGTCCCTCGGGGGGGC